CTTCTTTCTCTCCTACCTAGTGTTGGGGGGTTGGAGAAAGGGAGGTAGAGGTATAAGAAACCCTATTAAAATAGAGTTTAAAAAATAATGCTAACAGAGGTCAGAGGACAACTTGGGGGAGCTGGTTCTCTGCTTCTATCAGGTGGATTCCAAGGATCCAATTCAGGTCACCATGCTGGATGACAAGCTTTTTTTTTACCCACTGAGCCATCTTTCCGGGCCCCTCTCTAACTCTTTAAATCGTCATGTAATTATACATATGTATGTGGGACAATGTGATATTTCCTTATGTGTATGCATTGTTTAACGATCAAGTCAGAGTAATTAGCATATTCATCACCTCAAACATTTATCATTCTTTGTGGTGAGAACGCTCAAAATCTCTTCCAGCTACGTAATTTATTCTCATAGTAAGCTGCGGTTCGCAGACAGTGATTGGACAGATGGCAATAAGATATTACAGGTTTTGAGACAGCACATATATTTTAAGGAACTAGTTGTAAAATGTATTTATTCTTGGTGAGCTTAGGGAAGTGGTTTGGGAATACAGAAGATGACAGAGTCATTTTATAGTATATCGAAGGGCCATCATCAGATAAATTTCATTGAACTATCCATAATAATTTTACACTAAAAGTATTAAGAAAAAAGTCCAGGGAGGTAGCTCAATAGTAGTTCTCCTGTAGCCTGTGTAAGGCAGGCTGGATAAGTTGGACTTCAGCAAGAGGAGAGATGGCTCAGTGGTGCAGCGAATACATGTCATCCCAGAACCAGAAAGGTAAGCATAGGCGTTATCTTTGGGGCCTGCTGGCCAGCCAGCTCCCACACATACATATATACATACATACACATGATATATATAAAAACTTTTTGGGCTTAGGCTGTAGCCTAGTTGATTCAATGTTTACTTAGCAAGCCTGAAGCCCTGAGTTCAGTTCACAGCAGATTCTTCAAAACGTGGCATGGTGGTGAACACCTGTGATCACAATGCCGGAGCTCTGAGCTACGTGAGACCCTGTCCCCTGAAACAAAAATCAACTTGACCTAGGTTCTATTTTTTTCACTTGCAAATAGCATGACACTTGCTGTCTGGGATTATCTGAAAACTCTGGGAGAGCCTCGCAGCACTGCAGGGTAGATTTTTAGAAACCTGCAAAGTAAGAGCTCAATGTCTTAGATGTAGGTTTTAGTTCAGTTGAATAGAAAACATAAAGTGCAACTCTTAGAAAAGCTGACAGGAGGCTGGAGAAAGGACTCAGGGGTTGAGAACACTGACTGTTCTTCCTGAGAACCCAGGTTCACTTCCCAGCTCCCACATGGTGGCTAACAACGTTCTGTGGCTCCATTTCCAGGGGAATCTGACTTCTGCTTTCCGCACTATCAGGTACCAGGTGTGCACATGTACACAGTCATACATGCAGGCAAAACACCCATACACATAAAATAATAAAAGCTTTTTTTTTTTTTTAGAAGCAAAACAGAATCTGAGATAGGTTTTGCTCTCTATTTGGCAAATCTCCAGACTCCATTGTCATCAGCAATGCTGTGTTTTTTTATTATTATTATTATTATTAAAATTATTAGTTCACTGGCAAAGCCACCTCTCAGATCCACATTAATTTACAGAGTCAATAAACTCAGCACCTCCAAACAAGATAAAAGAAAATAAAAAAGAAATAAACTTGGTGTGGTTACACACACCTGTAACAACTCCAATCAGGATGAAGGCAAGTTTGAGGTAGCCTCATTTGTACAGTGAGTTCTAAGCCTGCCAGGGCTACATCTGAGACCCTGTTTGGGGAAAAGGAAAGAAGGAAGGAGGAAGGAAGGAAGGACAGAAAGAACAGAGTTGGTCCAGCAAGAAGGCTCAAAGGGTAAAGGCAATTATCACCAAATTTGATGACCAGAATTCAATCCCTGGGACCTACACAGGGGAAAGAGAAAAGTGACTCTCACTGGCTGTCCTTAGACCTACCCCCCCCACACACACACAGAAGTGAAATGTAGAATAATAATAACAAAAGCAGAAAATAAAAAAATGGAAAAGACCATTCAGTACCTCACCAGGCAATGCTGTTATGAGGTCAAAGCCAGATTGTTGCTCTCTGCAACAGCTATTCTAGAACTAGCAGTGTGGCCTGGAGATCCACCTGCCTCTGCCCCTGGTCCCCTGCCTCTGCCTCTGTCTCAGAGTGGGATTCAAGGTGTGTGCCACCATGCCCGGCTCATGTTTACTATTTCTTCATGGTGAAAACATCAAGGGATCTTTCTTCTACTTTTTAAAAAGAAACTATTCTGTGTTGTGACTGTGTGGAGGTCAGAGGACAACTTATGGAAGTTGGTTCTCATGTAGGTCCTAGGACTAGAACTCAGGTTGTCAGGCTTCGTGGCAAACCCCTTTACCCACTGAGCCAACTCTCTTATGGCTTTTAAAAAATATATGTATTTTATGGAAATGGGTATTTTGTCTGCATGTATGTCTGTGCACCACATGCTTGCCCATGAGGACCATAAGAGGGCATCTAATATCCTGGAGCTAGAGCGACAGACAGTTGTGAGCTGTCATATGTACAGGGCACAGGGAATTGAACCCAGATCCTCTGAAAGAGCAGCCAGTGTTCTTCAGCTCCAGAGCTTCTACCTCTTGACTTACTCTCTCCTGCAACAGCACAACAGGGCTTCCTGTTCCTGTCTAACTGTAACTTAGTTTGCACCTGTCAACTCTGTTGCAGTCTCTGAAAACACCATTCCCATCCCAAGCTTCATGGATGGATGTTTTTAGAGCGCACATGAGCCCGTGCAATGCATTTTTGAACCTTATTTCACCAAACACACTGCCCTTCAGTTTCATCTGTGCTGTTGCAATAGACAGGATTTTTGTTTTATAACAGAAAAATAGCATTCCACCTGGTTTTGTACCACATTCTTTACCCACTCAGTATCCTATTCCTTGTGTGGTGTTTGCTTTTGTTTTTTAAAGTATAAAAGTGAAAAACATGTTTAGAGGCATTTAGGTTTCTGTGTGTTGATTAAGAGCACTTTGATTTCTGTCTTTTATGGCCATTCTTGCCATTAATCTTCTAATGTTAAGTTATCCTAGTATTCATGAGATAAATATATTGGGTCATGTTTTTAATACCAAATATTCACTGGGTTGGGCTACCTAGTATTTTTAAATATCCACACATAAACAAGAGCCCTTCCTGATGTTTACTTTTGAAATCAATACAGCCTTAAATCCCATCTTACCTGTAAAAGCAACTTTTATTTCCCTGCTTCAAATGTGGTCTCAGAGGATTACTGCCTCCATCTGCTGACCCAAGCCTAGTCCTGGAAGCTTCTAACCTCTGTCTAGAATGTTCTCAGCCTCTGAGACTTATTGCTGAAGAAGCTCACCCTTTTTTTGTTCTTTCTGAGCTCATAGCTGACTGGTTCAACTCAGCTATTTTGGTTTAAACAGATAACTTAGTCAATCTTTTTCCTCTGCTGGGGTAAAAACCTGCTAGCTCAGAGAGAAAGATAAAGCATCCTGCTGACCTTCCTACTCAGCTCACATCCTGAAGGAAAAAGAAAAGCCTTTTTTACTCAACTCAGCTGACAGGAGGAAAGGATCTGCTATGTCACCCAACAGCCCAGGAGGAGAAAGCCAAAAGCTAAACAGCCAACAAGCTAAAGAGCTAGAGAGCTCAAAGCGAAAGGTCAAGGAATTCAAGAGCTCTTTCTTTCTTCTCTATGCTGTCTTAAATACCCTTCAACTCAAAGTCCCTCCTTTCTACTTAATTCCTGTCAGCTGGTTACTTGTTCCCCCTCTTGACCTAGGGTTAACCTTATTAAATCCTGTGTACAGAAAGCACTTGGATTAAAGGTGTGTGCTAGGGCTGAGCCACACCATAATCACCTGTTTACAATAGACAGAAGGCTTGTGGATTAAAGGTGTGTGTTAGGGCTGAACAACGCCAAACATAAAAAAGGTTTTTACAGTTCATAATATCAGGGTTCATACCAGGATCAAATATCCTGCCACACTTATCAGTCATTAGGAGTCATACCTTAATTCTGCCTTCGCTGGTGTAGTGGTTTGAATGAGAATGGCCCATATAGGCTCATATAGTTGAATGCTTGGTCCGTAGTTGGAAAAACTGTTTTGGGAAGGATTAGAAGGTGGGGCCTTGTTGGAGGAAGTGTGTCACCAAGGGTGGGCTTTGAGGTTTCAAAAGCCCATGCCAGGGCTAGTGTCTCTTGAATAAGACACAAGCTCTCAGCTACTGCTCCAGCACCATGCCTGTCTGTCTGTTGCCACTCTCCCCACCATGATGATCATGGACTCACCCTCTGAAGCTATAAGCAAAGCCCCAATTAAATGTTCTCTTTTATAAGTAGCCCTGGCCATGCTATTTCTTCAAAGCATCAGAACATAAAGACATCTAGTATCCTTCCCCCACCCCCCCACAACTGGTGAGATATAACCTACACACCATAAACTCACCCACTTAAAGTGGAAGGAAGAGCTGGCTGAGGCTGTTGCAGAGGTAGTAAGTTGTACTTGAGACAGGACTGGGAAGTTCTGCTGCGTTAGGTGTGCTGCCATACAGAAAGGGGCGGGGCTGTCGACAGTGACCGACCCTGCTGTGCTGGAATGTTGAATCTTTGAGGCTGTGATGACCACTCTGAGCACCTTTCGGAATCTGGAATCAGCTAAGATACACCTCTGGGAAGGTCGACAAGGTCCTTTACAGGAAGAAGACCCTCTGCATGAGTGACACCTCGGCGTGGGAGGCTGCCCCAATGCAAACAAGACCAAGGAAGAGCAATGGTGCCTGCTCTTGGTTCTTGCTGCTGAGCGTGTCCATGTCAGCCGCTTTCATACTCTGCTTCTGCCTCTGCAAACGCTTGCACATGTATGTCATGCATACACACACATACACACACTTTAAAAAAGTATAAAATGTTCTTTTAAAAACTTTTTCAATGACCATATTTCTAGTATCCATAAAAAGATGTTCTTACCTTTAAGCATAAGACAAGATACCCAAACTTTAGAAGTATTCTTTTTTTTTCAGTTTTTTTCTATTTTATTTATTTATTAATGAGTCAGGGTTTCTCTGTGTAGCCTTTCCTGTCCTGACTTTGTAGACCAGGCTGGCTTTGAACTCAGCAATCTGCCTACCTCTGCCTCCCTGAGTACTGGGATTACAGGTGTGTGCCACCATGCCTAACTTACTAACTTCTTTTATTAAGGCACTTCACAAAAAAAAAAAAAAAACAAAAAAAAAAACAGTAAATAATGCTACCCAGACTCACGGTGACTCAGTAGGTTAAAGTACCTGTGGTGAGGCCTAAGGATTCTTGTGATCCCTGGGACCCACATGGTGGGAGAAAACTGACTCCTTCATGCTGTCCTCTGATCTATACACACAAAACACAAGGCAGTAAACAAAGCTTCAAATGTAAAATGATGGGTGAAATAAGAAAGAAAATCTAATCATTTATCAATAAGGAAGAAAATGTAATCAGATATCGTTGAAAGTATATTTTGAAATAAAACAGCCCTGCTGTTGTATTTATTTCTTCATCTTACTTTGTCTCAAAAATGAACCTCGGAAAGTAATTTCTTTTTCCTCAGCAAAGCGCCTGGATACCAGCTAGCCAGGTGTAAATATAGATGAGATCATTTACTAAATATATTTTTCTCATTTTAAGAAAATACTATACTTCATTCCTAAAACAATAAAATTCTGCTCGGACTTGCTAGAATGCTTAGCTTTAAATCCTCAGGTGATGAAGAAGGTATAGCCAGGAAGCAAAACCTCTCCAAATTACCCAGTCTGATGCATAAACAACTAAGTAATTTCAAATGTAAGAAGCTGAGTTTGAAAGCCATAGCCGAAACCATCCGTTTCACTGTCTCCCGGCTAGCTACTGGAGAGTCCTTTTCAGAGCTATTTCTTCAAGCCTAACATTTACTCAACAGATGGGTTTCAAAACGCAGCTTGTAATTTCTCTGTCAAGTCACTGATTTTTATACTCAACTGGAGGCTTTGAAAAAATTAGAGAATTCGTCTGAACCTGAATTAAGTCATTCTCAATGTTTGTGTGGGGCTGTTTGCTAACTGACTGTTTCTACAGATAAGCTTTTAAAACATTTGCTACAGGTGGCAAAAAAAATGCTTTGGAACCGGAAGAGCTTTCGAATCCCCTGCATGACGTCATAAAGTCACTACTGTTTCCTTCTCTTGTAAGAATCGCTGTTGTGGACTCGAACTCGCTGATGCACGGAGGATGCAATTTTCAAGCTGTCTTTCTTCGTGAAGGTCTTCTCCATAGCGCCAGGTCTCCAGAGCAGCAGCTGGGCATCTTCTCCCCCCGTCAGCAAAGAGTCCTCGGACACGTTCCAACAAAAAGAACGGACGATGGCAGCATGTCCCCCCTGAAGGCTGGTCACGTGGCTCAGCCCTGCCGCGGTGCAGCTCATTACGTGAATCTTTCCCGTGTTGGTTCCTCCGATAACAAACAACCTGTCCATCTTTTCGTGATACAGGCCACCAACCAGATAGTCCAGGTGACCATCCTTCACATCAGTTATTTCTCTCACATCCTGGATGTTCAAACATGTAATTGGTTCATCAGTATCCAGATGGTTAAGATCCCACCAAGAAAATCCTTCATCGTGTGTCATGCAGTAAATCTGTTTATAATCTCTTCCACACCAGCCAATACAGCTCACTGATGAAACGGAGTTACAGGTCGCAACCAACGCATCCTCTTCGTTGTCAACACTGATATCAAACACATTCACCAGGCCATCAGTTGAACCCGAGACAAGCATGTTGGGATTGCTGGGATGGAAACGGACTTGAGTGATGTCATCACTGTGCGTCTCTGAATAGGCACCAAGTGGGTCTCTAGTAGACAAATCCTGAGATGTGATCCTGGCGTCCCAAAATACCAACAACGCATCATCATCAACTTTTTCTGTACCAGCACAGATGACATGATCTTCGCAGTTGACGTCAAAACTGATAAACGCATTGGAAGGGTAACCCTTGAACAACTGCACAGGTTTCTCACTAGCTAGCCGAGCGTCCCAACATTTCACAGTGCCGTCTATACTTGCAGAATAGACACTGTCACAGCAATTTGCAAACCTGACTCCACTAAGGAGCCCAGGGGAGCCACTAAATTCCCGTAGCACATTTAGTGTCTCCTTGTCATATATTCTTATCGATCCATTTGAACACAAAACAGCGACCAGGCTTCCTTTTCCTGTCTGTACAGTCTTTGATGTGTCTATGCCAAGCAGGTAAGTGGGCTCTATTGTTTCCGAGGACCGTCTAACAATATGGAGATTAGCAAACTGTTCCTCAATCTTCTCCATGTTAGTAGAAATATCCACGGGCATGGAAATCTGTAATAAAGGTATGAAAATTAAAACTTAACTCAGAGTTTCTCCAAAGTGCACCTGAGTCAAAAGCCTTTGGAGTGGATGCGCCAGAGTTTCCACTGTGTAGTACTTAGGGCCGGCACAGTAACTTAGAAAACCACGTCTGCTTTTGCCTCCTTTTTCTTTCAGATGCTGGGCAATGCCCGGGCACGCTTATCTGGACTTTTTCCCTCTTTCTCTGATGTTCCTAACACACCAGGCACTTCTGCTATCCCGGTGATTCCCAAACTGCAAAGCCATGATGCTCCTTCTCTCTCTCCCCCATCTCCTTCTACTAGGAAGCTGCTGCAGATTTGTTAGTTTGCCTTGGTTTCTCTGAAACACTAAGAATATTTTGGAGTGAAACAACTAAAGTAAGTCTTCTCTAATATCAGTTCCCTTCCAGGATGTAACTAAAACTCAGTTACCATTCATTAAATCACTTTTTGTTTGTTTGTTTTTGTTTGTTTTGTTTTTAGAGATAGAGTTTCACTATGTAGCCCTGGCTATTCTAGAACTCACTCTGTAGACCATGCTGGCCTCGAACTCACAGAGATACTCTTGCCTCTGTCTCCCAAGCACTGGGATCAAAGGTGTGCACCACCACCACCTGCCTCAAATCACTTTTCACACAGAATTTACCATACTATTTTATGCTAATGAGAGAGTTAGAAAGCATCAGCACATATCATTCAGTAGTTCCTCTGAGTTTAAACACGACTCCTGATCCCACTCACATCACCCAGGCTCTGGAATCATCCTCTGCCGTCCCCAGCTACTTCATGCAACTTTAAATTCAAATAGACATGTCTGGGCAAAAAACAATCCCTCCCAAATATTCGTGATTTAATTCTGGGTCCTGAGACTAGGTTAGGTTACATGACAAAGGGGACCTGAGGCTGCAGGTGGAACAAAGGCTGCTAAGCAACCTAAATTAACACTGACCTTAAAATAGGAAGATTATCCTAGATTATCTGAGTAAACCCAGCATAATCACAGTGTCTTTAAAAGTGGAAGTGGAGAGGGGCTAGTGCCTGGGAAGTGGGGAGACGTGATATTGCTGGCTTTTAAAGAAAGGGACATACTGGGCCTAGAGATCGCTCAGCAGTTAGAAGTTGCTGCTTGTCCTGACTAGTTTGTTATCAATTTGTCACAGATTACAGTTATCTAGGAACAAAAATTTTAATTGAGAAACTGTCATCTGATTGGCCTATAGGCAAGTGTGCAGGGCATTTTCTTTACCAATGAGTGACGTGGAAACTTCCTACCCACCCGCTGTGGTGCCACCCTTAGCTGCTATAAGAATGAGCAAGCCATGAGGAGCAGGCCAGCAAACACTCCTCCATGGCCTCTGTATCAGTTCCTGCCTCCAGGTTCCTGCTTTGAAGGGTGGGAAATGCTGGTTTGGGTCTTGGAGTGTTATCACAGCAAAAGAAAACCCCAAACTAAGACACTGTGTTTCCAGAGAACCGTTTGGCTACTAGTTCCCACTCAGGGCAGCTCACAACCACTTACAACTCCAGCTCCAAGGGATCCCACGCCTTCTGGCCTCAGCAAGCACATAAGTGGTATATGCACACACACAGAGATATATACCTACACATAAATTTTAAAAATTAAAAAAAAACGAGGAGCACATATGCCAAGAAATAGGTGAGCTCAAGAAGCTAGAAAAGGCAAGGAAGCACTTCCGCCCAGAGTTTCTCAGTGGATGTGCCACCCCGCATGTGGCCTAATCTTATTCCAGGGATACCTGTTATAATAATGACTAATAAGTCACACAACAGATCTGGTATAAAGGAAGTTTATTGTAGGAAAAGGGGAGGGGGAAGAGAGCAGGGAGGAAGAGAGAGGAGAAAGAGGGGTACTCTTATCAGGCAGCACACCTGGTGGGGGCAGGTGATGACGTCAGATTGCTAGGCCCTGAAAGGCAGGCTAGTTGGACTGCCTGAATGCTAACGATGCCCATCTCAGACTTATGGCATTTGATATTATGAAACAATGTGTGCTTGCTCTGTTTTGAGCTACCTGGCGTACTGTCACTTGCTGCAGCGCTGTGGGAAACTAATAAAACAGATGTTTGTAGTGGAGAGTCCTGGAGAGGCGCCTTCAGACAGTGGCAGTTCCTACATGGTAGAACTGGGATTTGAACCTAGATGATCTAGCTTCAGGACACATGCCCTTAAACACTGCACTGTGTTGCCTTTCTCTAGCAGGTTGCATGTAGAATAAGTTCAAGGCCAGAAAATGGGCATACTTTTTGCTTCCATTTTCTACCTGAGACAGGGCTCTCACGTGGACCAGGATGACTTCAGACTCACAATGTAGTAGAGGCTGGCCTCAAACTTTTGCTCTTCTAAGGCTTACCTTCCAAGTATCACAGGAATAGTCTACCGTATCTTGCTCTATCTGAAATTTTCCCATGGTACAATGAATATTGTAACCTGCCTTATATTCTTTTTCTTTCTTTCTTTCTTTCTTTCTTTCTTTCTTTCTTTCTTTCTTT